ATTGACAAGATATTGAGTTATCTCCCTTTGGAAAAGGAGTGAATCTATTTTTGACACAAATAGGAATAGATCCATTCTACTAGGGAGGTTTATATTATATTATAGCAAGTCATGCATGAATGTTGGGCATCTAAAACAGCAGACTGTACGGACATTTGTCTTTTTTTTTTTTTTTTTTTTCTTTGGCTGTCCAATGACTTCTCTATTTGGGGGAAATTCCTTTTTGTGGGTGGTATTTGGAGGGCATGATGCCCGAACAGCACTGTACAAGCTGAAGAGGAAAGATCCATGTTTCCATCCCTGGCTACCTTGGTGCAAGCAGGTGTTTCTAGTTCAGTTAGTCTGATGCTTCAGGCCCCCTGCCTAAGTCCCTTTCTCCAGCAGCTCCGAGTGGTTTCCTAGGTCTCTTGGGTGGGTGCCTGATGCAGGGTGGGTGGGGGACAGTTCCAGGGAACCTAGGCCAGGCATGTCTCCGTCCCACGGCTACTCTGGCCTTGACTCTGGTCCAGGGTGAGGTGCAGCCTTCCAGCTGGGTAAAGCTGTAAGGAAGGTTTCCTTTTTTCTTGTCTTCCAAGGGAAGGGACAAGCCGTTCAAGCACTGAGAGGGAGCCTACAGGCAAGAAGCTGCTGGCCCTTCAGCTCCCCACCTTTGGTCTTCACACTTGACCAGTTCTGATACAGAACTTCTGTTGGGGCAAGAAGGTTGCAGTGGAGTATAGGCTTTGGGGCGTCACAGGCCCGGGCTAAAGCCCCACAACCGATAGTGAAACCCCTAATCTCTAAATGACGGCAGAATGTTCAGACTAAAAGGAAAAAGTTGAGCAGGGATGTAAAATGGTGCACCTGCCATGGAAAAGAATATGGTGGTTCCTCAAGAAATTCAACATAGAATGAGGGTATGATCTAGCAATTTCCACTTCTGTGTATGGACCCAAAAGAATTGAAAGCAAGGACTCAAACAGGTATCTGTACATCCGTGTTCATAGCAGCATTATTCACAATAGCCCAAAGGTAGAAACAACGCATGTGTCCACTGATGGATGAATGGATAGACAAAATGTGGTCCAGAGGGACAATGGAATGGTATTCAGCCTTTAAAAGAAGGAAC